CCAACATGGCAGAGGTCCCTTCATTGCTTCTGAGAGCCATTCTCTCCACCCCAGATTCAGGGTCACGTCACAGCAGGTCTGTGTTACCATTAAGCAAGATGTATAACTCTGTTCACAAACCCTATTTAAATGCTTGGTCTCCTTAAAGAGCCAGAGTTTGTGCTGGCAGCACAGCACAGGCAATTGCTGTTTCAAACTTGTGCATTTTTTGTTTAGCTTTGTTTTATTTTTTGTTGCTACCGCTGAATCAGAAAGGCCTCTCCTAAAGGAGCTGTGACATGCTGCCTGCCAGGGGGGAAATGAGGTTAAATCTTGTTTGTGTGAGAGGGGGAGGAGGGGGGCAGGTGTGGGTGTGTCTTCCTTTCCAAGCCCTTTCAGGTTTTATGTGGATTTAGCTAGTACATGTTGGCTCTCCAATTTGTAGTAGGAACCAGCTTGCTTGTTTCCAGGTGCTCATCCCTGAAATAATGACACAGAAACTGTATTAATTAAATCACTGCTTGGCCTATTAGCTCTAGCTTCTTATTGGCTAGCTCTTACATCTTAATTTAACCAATTTCTATTAATCTTTGTATCGCCACGTGGCTGTGGCTTACCAGCAAGATTCTATCAGGCTTCGCTCTCTGGCATGGCTACATGGCTTCTCCTGACTCCACCTTCTTTCTCCCAGCATTCAGTTTAGTTTTCAACCACCTAGATCTGTTCTGCCCTTCTATAGGTCCAAGGCAGTTTCTTTATTAACCAGTGGTATTCAGAGCATATAGAGGGAATCCCACATCACTTCTTCAGGAGGATGAAGAGGAGAACTGATGAGTATCAGGACCCTGGTCTGGACTTGGCTTAATAGGAAACATATAGACCTTTTCCTTCCATAATATGTTTTCTTTTTTATTTTGGAAGATGGAGATCAAACAAATTAATAGCATAATCTAAGTTATCACTTTTGAGGCAAACAGAAGTGGCATTTGAACCAATTATGTGAAAATATCTATGTTTTAGGAAAAGGATGACAGACTGAGATCTGAGGAAGATGTATTCTAGACTGGATAAAACAAGAGCAAAGACTACAAGAAGAACAAGAATCACAAACAGGAGGGACTCTGCCCCTCCAAAGGGCAATGTGTATAGTGTAATGTGTATGAAGCCAAAAATATTAGGAAACAAGAAAGGCAAAGCAATAGAAATACAGTGTGCTACAGTAAAGGAATTGAGGGATTTTAGCATAGAGTTCATGCAGAACACAAAGCACATTATGAGATGTAAGTATGGATAATGAGCTTCTGCGTGGGGTGGGTGCAACTGAGAAGGATGAGGCAAGTGTCAGGAAAAGCAGGAAGTCTTCCTGGATATTTTCACCTGCCTTTGCACATTCTTGATGGCACATCACAACACTGCCCTTCAAAGTACAGCCAGACTTGAAAAACAATTAATGAGGTTCAAGGGAAAATATTCCATATGTTCAGCGTGGGCATGGTGGTGTTCAAATGTAACACCCAACCATCTTTTTCCTGAGTTTGTGAGGAAAAATTTACATGCTTGGCAATAAAAAGTGGTCTTTTCACTCATTCTCTCAGTTTCTCTCTCTCTCTCTCTCTCCCTGTGTGTTGTGAGTGTTGGAGAGGGAGTGTTTTGGGAACCGTGGAGATAGACTATTCCACCCCAGCCGGCAGCTGTATATCTTTCAAAAAGGGCTTCCACAGGCCAGATCCCCCTCCAAATTATTTATTACTCCCATTGAAGCTAGCAGGACTCGGGTGCCAATCTAGGGGTCAGCAATGGCCTTCTTTGTTGGACACAGGTCGCTGGGAGACGACTCTAGCTGTGACTGCTGTGTGAACCTCCGCTGCCGTAGAAATGGTTGTGTAACTTTAAACAGTAATGACATTTTGCAGAAAAGTGCTTTTTAATTGCTATGTCTTCATTATTCTCTTTTGAAATTTGCCCAGGAGATTCTGCCTCTGAGACAGCTCGGCATGTTCTGAGTTTCCATTTTTAAAGAGCAGCCAGTGTTCTCTTTCAGCTGCTCTGAGAAAACCCCCAACCCTAAATTTCATCTGTTTTCAGTTGCACTAAATGGGGTAGGTAATACTGCCTTTTGTATCCTTGCCAAACGGAGACATGATTTGATGCAATTTTCTAAAAATGCTCTCCCCAAATTCCTTTTGGGTTAGGACCAAGAATAGAATATCCTATCCCCTACAAAAGGGAGAAATACAGTGATGAGGTGACTGTAAAAATAGGACTGAGAATATAGTCAGTCGAGCTCCTTTAAGCAACAGAAACGTAACCCCAATCCATAGACGCAGTTGCCTATAGGGATCAGCTAAAAATAAATATTGCTTTGGAGGAGAAAATGGTGACTTAAATGAAGTAACTCAATAACGCACACTCGAAAGAACTGCAAACTTGCTTCGGAAAGGATTTTATACTTTGTGTTTCCCAGTCTTTGCTCTCTGGATCACCTCCCTCCTGTGCAGAACCCTTGTGCCTGATCATTTGCTCTCATGTCCTGCTCAGTGGTAAGGAGTTTTTCCCATTTCACACCACACCACTTGCCGGCTTCATAGGTTTCCCAGAATGCCTCCTAAGTGATGTCATGCACACCATACTAAACATTTTTTGGCTTCAGCAGGCAGGGAGTCCAAACCCGCCTCCTTGTGAAAGTTGTGCAGAAAATTAAAGATTCGCTTTGGAATGTACCTGCCGCTATTCTTCATTTTATATGCTGAAGCTTTTGTTGAACCTTAGGAAATTCATCAGAGGAAGGAAAGCATCATCATTAACAACATCTCCCTTAGCAGCAGTTTCTTCCCATCAAAAACTGGAACTGGGCTGGCAAGATGGCTCAGTGGGTAAAGGTGTTTGCTGTCAGGCCTGATGACCCAAGTTCAAACCCTAGACCCATATGATGGAAACAGACAATCAAGAGAAGCAACTACTGCAAGTTATCCTTCAACCTCCACATATACATATATATTGTGGCATGAGCTCCATAAATACATCTATAAAAATACTCAAAATAAGCAAATTAAATAAGTAAGTATATAATTAAAAATTAAAAAAATGAGAATTCATAATTAAGGGTGTGTGTTTGTGTGTATGTGTTTGTGCCATAAAATGTTCCATACAATTTACTGGTATCTTTGATTTTGTCCTCTAGATACAATATAGCTACTATAAGCATCTCCATTTGAACATAAGAGAAAGTGGATCTTTAGAGAGATAACTTTTTTGAGCTGATTTTGACAGGGAACCTAGTGTTAGCAATGGCCAGCTCAACACGTGGATTGTGCCCTCATTCCACAGAACTACTGAGACTTGCTCACATCTCTTTCTCACAGGGCCCTCAGCAAATTCTACTGTGTGATTTCCATATGAGTACCAAATGGTAGAAAAGAAATCCAATCTATATATAACCATAATAATGGTATACATCACATATAATCTGAAGGAACAAGACAAAAGCCTATAAACATAACTGAAAATAAAAATTAAAAGGGAAGTTTAAAAATGCTATATTTATTTACAAAATCTAGAGTAAGTGTTATTGAAGAGTAATCCTGAAGCATATGTGACAAAGAAATAATCATCTGAAGAAGAATATAGTCCCTTTCTTTACATAGGGAGAGGTAAAGCCATTATTCCTATATATGCTAGAGGCTAAAACTATTAGGAAGCCCAGAAAAAGTGAATGGAATTGTTTTGGATATGAGTTGTTGGTCCAAATTCCCCCTTCTTTCTGGCCATTATAGGTGGAAACACTTAGCTGATGTTTCTAGGTTCTGGCATGCTGCTTTGACCCAGAGAAACTCCTTCCATCTTTCACTGTAAAGATCAAGACTCTAATTATTTAAATATAGAGAAATTCATAAGGTGTAGTCAAGGGTTCTCCTCATATACCCTTGGGTTAGCCACTTTGCCTTAGTGTTTCTTACTGCCTTCCTCATTAGAGTGAACAAGAGAAACTTAGTTTCTGGGATTTTTTTTTAACCAATGGTTTGGTTTTATAATGCATTTCCTATTTAGTATTTCCCTTTAATTATATCATTCTCACCCTTGAAAAACTTCCAGTGTGTATTTAGTGGACCACATGGTAAATACACGATCTATAGTCTGTAATAAATTCTTTCCTGCTTTCTGTCCTGAAGGTCTCTCAGTCAGTTTTCCTACCACACCATACCCTACCCATCCAGGTTCGTTTCATATAGTGGGAACTCCCAGACACACATATGATATTGTCTCTTATTCTACTATTCTTTTGATAGTACTTGCCTCTTCTATACTCTTCAACAAATCTACATTCTTTCTCCTATAAAAATTGTCCTTACTCCTGAATTCTTCCTGTGTCTGTTTTTGCTGTAAGCCCTGTTAGAAAGATGTGTGCCTACTTCTGTCCCTGTTGATACTGCAAATATGCTTTATTAAAAAAATCTGCTGATCATGGTCACATGCAACTTTATTCACAGCACTTGGAAAACAGGGACACGCAAATCTTTGTGAGTGTGAGTTCAAGGCCTTCGTGGTTTACATAGTGAGTGAGAGGACAGAGAGCTATCTAGAGAGATCCTTACTCAAAAGGTAAAACAAAATAAAATAAAATAAGTCTTCGTATGCCTACTGATCTCAGGATATATTCTTCATAACTAGAGTTTATAAACATTAGGAAAGGAAAAAATAAAGTATATAAATATAAACAATAATGTTATGCATTCAATTAGTTTCCTCCCCAAATTAACATATACATCAGAGCATCTCCAGTCTCATTACTAATATAACATATCAGTGTTTATATTTTACAGAGTGCCAAGGTCATGGCCTCAGATGTTAAATCTGAAGGTCGCACTGAGCATGGCCTACCTCTAGCTAAGTAGGCTCTGAAATGTTCTGCTTCCAATGCACAGAGAGAAACCGTGCAGTGATGGATTTTTGTCATCTTTGGAGGCTTTTAATAAAACACCTTGCTAACCTTCTGATTCTCTTTTCTTGCTATTTTTACCCAGGTCTTCAGATAATCTTCCCACAGTATCTGCAAGAGAAATTTGTTCAGTCAGCTCTGAGCTACATCATGTGCAATGGAGAGGGAGAGTATGTGTGTCAGAACAGCCAGTGTCGCTGCCAGTGTGCGGAGGAGTTCCCGCAGTGCAACTGTCCTATTACTGACATCCAGATCATGGAGTTCACACTGGCTAACATGGCCAAGGCCTGGACCGAAGCTTACAAAGACCTGGAGAATTCAGGTACACAGAAAACTAGCATGAATTATCCTGGCCAAGTAAAAACTGCGGTCAGGGGAAATAGAATAATGGCACTTGTTTCTGTTGGAGAGTTTGGGGTCAGGTGTAGTAGTAGTCCTCACAGAGGAAACACACATTTAGTTTCCACAGGATGAAAAACTGGGCATCAGAAAGCATTATGCTTATATGATACGTATCATCTCTATTGGACTAAGATGACAAAGTAAGACTGAAAACACACCTCTGCAGAGTGGAGAGTCAGAGGGCATTGCATATTTTCCTGAGTCTCTATTTATGTGTGATAGGTGTATATTCACCGTTGTGTATAATTATGAATTAATGAATGAGCACACTTAAGTATATAAATATATGTCTGCCTATATTTAATATATATGCACACACATAACTGTAAATATATATGTGTTTATGCACATATAATCTTGTAGATACCCAGATATCACACAAATTATCAAAATTGAAAGTTACTTTTCTGATAATTTAGCTATTTTTTGCATTTCCTGGCTCAGACTAATGAGCTTCAGGGGAGGAAAGTCAGTTATCCAAGGTCATGAAGAGGATAAGGCCCAAAATTAGATCTCTACATTCTTGAAGCTTTGAATTCTGTAAGAAATGAATTATGTAACCATTGTGAGATGCAAATGATTGTGGCATTTCAAGTGTCCATGAGTGAGGATGTGGAGCAGATGGCACAATGATGAAGAGATGGAGTCACTGTGGCCAGTAAAGTCAGCGGTGGCTGTGTTGAAAAAGAAAGAAAGTCTAATTGTCCTTCTGTGCTTCAGAGAACCAGTTCTCACGTTAACTAGGAGTGATAATCCCAATGTAGATTAGGGAGCAGTAGCATAAATGCACAAAAAGATTGGCATTATAAGGGGAATCAACAGAACCAGATTCTGGTTATCACACTGAGTTGAAGAGAAAAGGGATTGAGATGATGTCTAGGACCTTTGCTTAGAGTTGCATAGTAGATAACTTTATGGTTGTTGGTATCCTTCAACTGAGCTAGAGGACCCAAGAAAATTTGAAATCAAGAAAATGTACTCAGTTAGACAGGATAAGTTTAAGAGTCCTTAAGAATTCCACGAATCATGAGACAGATATATTAAACTTATATTCCATACATTAACATCTGTTAATTGAATAAGCTCATCAGTGCAGTGCTCCAGTTTTCAAAACATCTCTATAAGCCTTCTGTCTGTTACAACTACATGAAATGAAGTGTTATGTGCCTTTCCAGGGAGCAGGAAGGACAAGATCCAGAATCTTCCTTAAAGTTACATATGTGTAAATGACAGCATTGGTAATGGAGCTCCTGACTCCATTCACAGCAGTCTTTTCAGGATATTAATTCTAGTCAACCTTGTAGGCCTGAGTTCCCTCATCTGATAAATGAGAGGTCATGTTGTTTTCATTTTGATTATCTGAATTTAAGTCTTTACTCACAAAACCCTTTGATCAAACAAAATTTTACCTCTGAGTCACTGTGTATTATTTAAAAAAAAAAAAAAAAAAAAGCAGAGTTTCACAGAGTGTCACTTAAAATGTCTGGTTGCCATGAACTTGAAATACCACCTTGCCAGCAGAGTATCCATCAAAATTCTGCTCCTGCAGGGTCATGCAGCTTAGATGAAACTGCTGTGTTTGTTTATGAAGCTTTATCCATTAGTCCATTTTAAATTCTTGGATCTTTAAAGCAGAGAGGTCATCATAGAGGGTATTACAGTGATTCATGGCCTCAAACAAACAAAATGCATTTGACAGAATGCTTTTGCAGAGAAATGCTACTAATTGCTAAAATTCCTAAAGAAATGAAGAGTATCTACATCAGTAATAAGGAGTTCTAATTCCAAAAGAAAGCTGCTGTGAGTGGCTGAGTAATGGGGCAGAAAGGGAGATGTTGCAGAATAAGAAAATAGTAAAGAGTTTGTCTTGCTCTTTTTCTTTATCAGGTATACCTATTCATGGATCTCCTAGACATGCCCCTCTGAAACAGCTTCTCATTTAATATAAACCCACCTACTGTTTTACTCTATTTTTTCTAGTCCTTAGCCTTAATGTCTCTGCTCCTGAAGGAAGAAATAATGGTTGTGGCTTCTTTGATGGCTTCACAATTTCTGAATTTGGATTAGATACTGTTATACAAATTTGACAGATGTGTAAACTGATATCTTGAATGAGTGAAGGTCCTTTAATTCTTTGGTGGTCAGAATAGGATGTGAATTCTTGTATATTTGAATATCTATCACAAAGTTCCTAAAGGTCTGATTAAGAATTTCTGTTTTTAACAAATTTTTTATCCCCACTCCATGCCGTGTTGAGAGCGAGTTTAATACTTTGAGTGAGGCTGCAGTTTTAATTGAACTGGCTACTGGCCACTGACCCTGTGCAAGTTAGCTACCGGTTTTGTGCACAAACTCTGCAGAGTGGAAGTACTACAGATATACATGTCATAGTTTCCTGTGAAGATCATTCATAAGTTTGAAGTGCTTAGAACTGGATTTGGTATCTGTTGAAACCTATGCAACTTCTCCTTATGTAAATAAAGTGAACGTATGGACAGGCATAAAATTTCCTTGCATTTTTTTTGTAGCAGAAAATAAAATTCTTAAGCTGCAACAATGACTTTTAAGCTTTTACATGCAAAATGATCCGTATATGCTTCATTTTCCCACAGTTGAAAATAAAAAACAAAAACAAAAAATGCAGTGGAGGATGGTGTGGCTGAAAACATGTCAGGGCGAATAAGAGCAGCTCAGGTTTCATGCTTGCCTCTTAAGGCTTTTTGACTGTGTTATCTTTAGAAAAATCACTTTGTCATTCTGGGTTTTAGTTTCCTTGCTGTATGTATGGAACAAGAACAATGAGCTAGGTGATTTCTTAGGTCGTATCAAACTGCAGTCTGAGATGGTGCTCAGAAACTCAAATACTAGGAACTATGGCTGAAACATTTACCAAGGGGACCCTTACCATCTCTTAAATTGTAGTTTTTCAGCACTGGAGATGATGTTACATGGTTTACACCAGGACTTCAGATAATAGTTGGATCCGGAGTACAGAATTTCACTTTCTTCAGTTTTCCATCCAACCTCTGTAACACATCAAAAAGAAAGATACAGTTGGGTGCTAATATGTTTTTAACACCACTCTGGGTCTAGTAAAATCCTGTATTTCAATGAGAAATTAGGCACTTGGGTTTGATCACTTAGCAGGCAACAATATCTGACTAGAATTTATCAACATGGTTTCCTTTACATTTATTTTCACAGTTACAATTCCACCAAAAGCCTGCAATACTTATTTTCTATGTAGGTCAGATAAAAGCTTTTCAATTTTTAACTTGATAATAATAATTTAGTTCAAAAGCACTGTTAAGAATGAATACAGAGAGTATGTACTTTATCTTGGCTTCCCAATGCTGGAAGTATGGGGAGACATATGTTAAACATAGATGCCTTATACAAAAGATCTGCAATAGAGATAAAATGTTAGTTAGCACAGCAGACTTTGGAGTGTTATACTGACCTCAGACAAATTGCAGGGTCTTTCATTGGCTGAGGGAGCTAAGTGTCAGGAAGGAATTCAGGACTGACTAAAAACTGATTTGCAGTTTTAAAACTTTTTTCTGGGGAAGACTTTTTCTCCCTTTCTTAACATTCCTTAATTGTCTGTAATGCTTTATGTACGGTTGAGTCTTTCTGGTCTATACCCCTGTCCACTTTGACATATGTGGGGCTGTCCTTGTTCAGTTCCTGTTTAGGTGAGCCTGGATGTAATTTCTGCCATTTCTAGGAGGCAAACTCCCTCATCTTCTTTCTCTATTTTTCTGGCTCCTCTTTCTAAATGTTTCCTGAGCCTTGGGTAGGGGAATAGTTGTGTAGATGTATTCAGTGAGATTGGATTCCATGACTCTGTATTCTGATTGTTTGTAAAATTCTCTAACAGTCTTCTGTTAGAAATACCAATGTCCATAATGAGAGTTGAGGACTACACTTATATCTTAAGATGTAGAGCTAGGATCCTCTGATAAAATAGAACATGTAGCATTTGTCTTGTTGGGGCTAAGTTACTTCACTCCATTGTATATTTTCTAATCCCCTCCATTTATGTGAAAGCTCCATGATTTTGTTTTTCTTTATGCACAATCATATTCTATGGTGCATATATACCACATTTTCATTATCCCTTTGCTGGTTAAAGGACATTTAGGTTGTTTCCAATTCCACAGTGTTATAAAGAGAGCAGAAAAAAATAAAAGAACAAAGGAGGAATTAAATTTTAAAGGACTTCAGATGTTGGCAATAATGCTTACCTCTTCTCTCTTGGTTTTGTCTCTTGTTAGATGAGTTTAAGTCATTTATGAAGCGTCTCCCAAGCAACCACTTCCTGACCATTGGTAGTATCCATCAACACTGGGGTAATGACTGGGATCTGCAGAGCCGTTACAAGCTCCTGCAGAGTGCCACTGAGGCTCAGAGGCAGAAGATCCAGCGCACAGCCCGCAAGCTCTTTGGTCTCAGCGTTCGATGCCGCCACAATCCCAACCACCAGCTGCCTAGAGAGAGGTATGTGCTCCTACTACAACATTTTTTCAATGCTTGCTACCCTGATTGCTCTGTGTCAGCTAACATTCTCCTGCAGGAGAAGGACATGTGCTACAGGTAGCATATTTGGGACTCTTTAAGCAAGGTAATCAGTAATACTCTCCAACAATGCTCCTCATTGCATTTGGTCTTTACAACACTGAATTCCACATGCTTCTTATAAACGCCTTTGAACTTTTGTACCTATGGCTTCTCCACATACAGTTTAACTAATATCAGACTGAAATTATCCAGACAAAACTGTGTCTCTACTGCAAATGCTTAGATGTGTTTTCTAGTCAGTTTCGCCTAAACCATGTAAGCAAAGAGTCGCATTACATGAAACATTACAAGTACCCTAAAGATGATCCAAAATACAGAGGAAGATGTGCATGGGCTGTCTGCAAGTGCTATGTTCACTTTATTAAAAGATTTGCACGTCCACTAATGTGGAAAATCCTGAAATCAGCTTCCCAATAATAACAAAAGACATTGGACCATGAAATTCAGCTTTGCATTGTTTGTGCTGTTTCTCAGCTATCTGACTGAGAGAGGCTCCAACACTGGTCCCAAACACTATATGGTACCATTTTGTTTACTTAAAATGTAATATCTACACAACTTAAAAACACTAAGTTAGGAAACTGTGCATCTCTTCTTAATGGTAAAGAAAACGGGCTGACTAATTACCCAGTTAATTTAGGTAGCAGAAGGTCTTTGATCAGGGCCTAGAGTGGAGTAGAATAAATGTTGTACCAACCGGTAGAAATTTTAAGGAGGATTATACAGGCCAGTCCCGTGAGTACATGATTTTATCCAGAGATCCAGTACCTCCTTAACTTCAGAGTTGCTTCCTCTGCCTAGTTTGGTCCCAGCCTTGCCTTGTCTGGTACACTTGCTCTGATAGCCAGTGGGAATAAACAGACGGGATTTACCCTTTCATGGAATTTTCACTTTTTCTCAGGGACATGCAACGAAGAAATCAGGATTCAAATTTGCTTGGTCAAATTCCATTCTTGGCAATTTATGATCTGCAGCTGTAAGTTTATTTAGTAGTCTCTCCAGGGTTGCTATGAGACTGTCAAAGGAGGGCAAGATGGCAAGTTACACCATAGGGGTGAATTCAGGTGTGGAGCCTCATTCAGGGCAGTTCATCCAGAGCACTTCTCTTTCCATTCGTTTCTTACTGGAGGGAGGATCTTGCCTTTTATGCCATTCAGAGGAAGAAAATCCACATTAAAAAAAAAATAAGATTAGATAAGTTTGGGGATAGAGAGGTAGCTTAATGTTTCATAGTACTTTTTTCTCAGTAGCATTCAAATTTTTGTACCGGCAGAGAAAGGCAGCCATCCGCAACACACATGTAATGTTCACTCTATTCAGGGTGGAGGCAAGAATGGGGAGATTTACTGGCCGCTATCCTGGCTGAGAAAACACAAGTCTCAAGTTTAGGTATCGGCCTCAAAGAAATGGGAAAAGAGTGATTGAGGAAGGTAACTACTTTTGGCATATACACACAGGTATGCACACCTACCTGTGGGCTGTATACAGGCATGTATACACACACACACACACACACACACACACGAACATACACCAAGAAAAATCAAGTCAGATGTACATAGCGTACTCTAAGTTGGCCACATAGTTGTTTTGTGTTTGTGTTTATGTGTGCATGTGTGTGTGTGTGCACATATTCATTTTCTGGTGTACAATCCAGGAAACTGAAGTTCAGAGAGGTAAATTCACAAGCCCCAAGCTACAGCTACATATAACTGGTTCACAAATGAGGCTGATTTCTCTGCATATGAAATATGTGGATATGTACAAGGACATTTTTAATTACCACATGGAATGATATTATGTAGGACAGTCTTTAAAAAATTATCTGGTTGCAGAAGTCACTGAAAATGAGATATAGCCTATATGTTATAAAACAAAAGTCAAAATGGCATATAAATCTATAAACCTCTATTTGTTCTCTGTAATGTCTGTTGCACTAACACACAAGACAGCAATTAAAAACCGTTATATTCTTGACAGTTCAAGCTGCTTATCATAATCTGAAACTTTCTCCTCACATTTTTGTACACTCATATCTAATGTTGCTTCATCTGTGAAGACTTTCGTGACTGCATTCAAAATGTTCCTAATTCTAAGTTCCCCTTTATCTAAAAAATACTTTTTAAAGTGCACTTCTCTCTCTTTCCCCCAGTATGCCACGTATCCTTATGTACTAGTGTGTGTCATCTTCGTTTGCCCCAGACACTCCAATTCTAAGTCCATCCCCTTGTTCCTACTTTGTAATAACCACTTTGATAGTGAAATTGATTTTTTTCTGTCAGTTACTGATGTGTTGCTGTTCTGTTGAACCACAGACTTGGAAAAGGGTCTGTTCACAAATTGACTTCCCTGTTGCATGCAGCAGATGCCCAAGCTGCCACCATAAGGGAATCTCTGAAGTAGAACCATTCAGATTTATCAGGACTGTGGCAGGTGACCAGCCTGAGGCACTATTTGGGGCTCATAAATGAATACAGTCCACAGTGCTATGAAAGATGGCTGTTACAGAAGGACTGGGGAAACGTTCAGTTGGGAATCAGAAAAATGAAACTTTCCACAGGTGGATATTAGTTTGTCAAGGTTATTTTATCCACGTCCTACAGACTGGATGACTGAAATAGTAGAAATCTATGTTCTTATAATTCTAATATCTGGATGCTTAAACACAGGCTCAGGCAGGGTTGTTTCTTTTGAGGACTCTGTGCCTTGTCTTTCCCCTGTGTTCTCACATGCTCTCTCCCCCACATACACGTGTGTCCTCATCTCCTCTGCTTTAGGATCACAGTCTCGCTGGATTGTCATCTATCCCTAATGAACTTATTTCAAACTAAAAACTGCCTCTGAAGACAGTGGTGTTTTTCAGTACTGGGAAATCAAGAGTTTAACATATGCATTTGTGGGGAGGTTAGATAATCCAGCCCATAACACTCTAAATCAGTGGTTCTCAACCTTCTTAAAGCTGTGACCCTTTAATAAAAGTTCCTCATGCTGTGGTAACCCCCAGCCACAAAATTATTTTGTTGCTACTTCATAACTGCAATTTTACTATTGTTACGAATCACAGTGGAAGGAAATCTGGTATGTGACCCCCAAAGGAGTCAAGACCCATAGGTTGGTTGAAGATCACTGCTCTCAAGAAAAATGATTTGTGTCACATCTTTAAAGGAAGAAAGCATATGCCCTAATGTTGCATTAGGAGCGGCAGGGCTGCGTCCCCGGCACCCGGCCGCCCGCATGGCTAGCTTATGCCCGAAATAATTACACGGAAACTGTATTCTTTCAAACACTGCCTGGCCCGGCTAGGTCCAGTTTCTTATTGGCTAGCTCTTACATATTGTTCTAACCCATTTCTAATATTCTGTGTAGCCCATGAGCTGGCTTACCAGAGAGGATCTTAACCTGCATCTGTCTGGAGTGGGAGCATCATGGCGACTCCTCCTCTAACCTTCTTTCTCCCAGAATTCTCTTCTGTATACTCCGCCTACCTAATTTTCTATCCAATAAAATGGGCCAAGGCAGTTTCTTTATTAGTAAGAAATCATTCCCACATCATTTCCCCTTTTTCCGTTTAAACAAAAAAGAAAGGCTTTAACTTTAGCATAGTAAAATTACATATAACAAAACAGTTATCAAGTAAGAATTACAGTTACAATATTTATATCTATTTTATCTCTTACCATAACTAAGGAAAACTATAACTATTCATTCTTCAACTCCATCAAAGACTCCAGAAGGATATAATATTACCTAAGTACACAAGAAATAAGAAAACTCTAGAAATGACAGAGACATCTCGCTGCCTGGACAGTCACCCAAAGTTCTTTGGTACCGTTGGGGCATCCATCTTCGGCCTACAGGCCCATGGTATCCAGATACATTTCCATGAAGCAGGAAATTTCAAAGACAGTTCAGTCATTTTCTGCTGTGTCCTGCAGAATGTCTCGCAGACTCTTTCATGAATCAGGAACCCCGAAAGACCATCTCACCTTTAGGCAAGTTCAGCAGTCCTCTCTCTGAGGGTTCTCTGTGTCCAGTTTATGCAACAGTCCAGGCAAGAGCAGTTTCTTGCCCAAATGACTATCCAACTCCATAAGGATCCTCTTCGATGCCCATCTTCCTCTTGAAGTAGCTGGTGCTGCCAGGAGCAGACGTGTCTCCTTGTCATGAAAAGTCCTAAGTTATTAAAATATTTTAAATGCCATATTCTGCAGTCTTTGAAAGATATGAAGAATGCCTATCTAACTGAAATATATCTCTATATATCTAGAAAATCTAATTAACATGACTACAAGCTTAACTATTAGCGATGATTATCCATTAACAACCTATATTTCCTAATTATACATTACATTTTTAAATGAACTACACAATCACAATACCTTAATCAAGATCAAAAATACATATACATATAACAAAATTGACCTTAAAATCCATACCAATGCAAATTATTCATATCTATATCATATCCCCCTTTAAATGTAAAAGAACATTTATAAACAATATTTGGGAACATGGGCGTAGTTTTTTCTCTCCAAACTGCTTCCTGCTGAATAGGGGCGTCGTTAATTAGGTCGTTCATGATATAACCTGTGTGCTAGTTTCATCTCAGTTGGCAATTGAGCGAAGCAATTTTTTGAGGGTGTTCACAGCAACCTTTCAGGAGGGCGTGGTCTATCATACCAAATCGGAATAGATGCAATCCACAGGGTCACATCCTCTGTGAAAACAAAAGAAGGACTTTTCCAAAGCATCATAACCTTAGATCCAAATTCTGAAGTCAAGATACCTTTAGAACATATGTGCAGGTTCAGCTTAGCAGCCCATATAATGAAATGTCTCTCTGTACTTAGCTCCTTCACAGTCAAAAATTTTAAAGAAAACACAATGTACATAATCCAGACTCTCTGTGAATTTTCCAT